TCGTTTTAGACACGTTACAAATGCACAAAGTGAGAAGAAAGTTTTTCGTCTTTTTCAGCTCGTAGTTTTTGGTATGTAAAAATTATCAAACTCATATAAACTTAAAAAATGTGATAAGCTTTTAAAAGTAGAGATTTCAAGCTTTAAAACCCTTTTTTTAAATTTGAATTTCATTCATTATTGACGAAGATATTGTATATACAACTTTGAACTAAAAAAGATGACTTTTTACTTAACCTAATATTATATGACAAAGTAAAAAAAAAACTTAACAGCGGTTATTTAATTATTCTCCGAACATATTTGCCTACGAGGAGAAAATCCTCTAACGTGATTGAGAACGTTCTGTTTTTAATGAAATAGTATAATCGAAAAGTTGCCAACGGGGAGCTTCAGAATTCCCGCGTGACGTAAGAACACGGCGACGGGGCAATGTATTAATTTCCGGTAACGCATTTTCCGATGATTAAATTTCCGAACTACCGTCGCCCGCGCGCTCTTTTCGCCGTTAGACTATTACGGTCAACTCGCGCAACAAATTAGGCACAGTGCAATTAATTAAACAACACGTAACACGTACCGTAGTACTTCGCGCAAGCGAGCGGACGCGAACCTCCCCTCCCTCCCTCCCTCCCGCCCCTCGTGAAATTACATTTGCGACGTAGACGGAAAATAATTTGCAACGTTAACAAGAATTCGAAATAGAGGGTCATTAGCATAGCTTGAACGCACATGTAGCAAACGTAAACGCAGTGACGTAATAGTACGTATGCATTAGTGTGGTTGTTCTTCTTCGTTTAAGAGAGATGTTTACATATAATAGCAGCGCGTTGAACTTAGTACCGTAATTAAAATAATGGCGCGATGCAAATTACGTGAGGCATTGCGTTACAATATTACTCGCGAGAAATGCTCCTCGCAACACCATTGCATTACGTATTTCACTCGAGAGCGAGAGAACACTCTCTCCGGCCTGCGGATAAAACGTTATCCGCAAAAGCGGTTTTTAATATCCTTCGTGATCGTGCGCGTTGCGCCTGAAAGTGAATAAATTGCACTTTGGTACGTACGATGGAACGCAAGACTAAAGAAAAGTAATTTCCGATCGTACATATGATATCGACATTTAACAGAAACTTTATTAACAGGTACACTCGATGTTCGCAACGACCTCGCACGAGCCATGGAAATAAATGCAATTTTTCGTTACTACCAGTATATTCTCGTCCTTTTCCCACACAATTATGGTAAATAAATAAATGTGCCTATACGAGTATATCTCTATTACACCGGAATATGAATGAATAAGAAGAAAAGTGTCGATTTTATCGACAAAATGAAGAACAACGTGTCTTTAAAAGGTGTAAGAATATTTTTCGAAGAGAATATATTTATCGAATATAAAGATTGTTTGTTTTTCAAAAAGAAAGAAGAGGACGTTATGGACGTCTGGCCACGTTACACTTACAGATAAAAGAAGTCGGCAAGTTGCGAATGCAGAAAACAGGTCTCGCTATTAGAAAGAAACTGATTCTACATGATATACCGTACAATTTACGACGCAGCTGTTGCTTCGCGAGCGTATTTTGCATCGTATTTGGATTCTGGATTTTTCGTCGGTACTCGCAAAGAAAAGCACGAGCTCAAATCTTATACTCGTGAAGAACGATTCGTTTCCGTGTGCATCGGAGATATTCTATATAGGCGCTTCTTTCTCAAGTGAAAGGAAAGAATGGAAGGATCGCGGATCCAGGATAGTTAGAACGTGATAGTCGTGGCCTTTAACCCGTCATGTTTTATCAAGGACTATACCATGCTGTGACGCGGCCGTACCCGCAGTAAAGGAAAATGACACGGAACATTTACGGGCACGATTCGCCGACGCATTACCGCAGCCTATCTGTCTCGATCGACGAAACGCCGCTGGCTGTTACTCTGTCGATGCCTCGGGGACCAACGTATCCTTTTTATATAGCGGATATAACATACCCTCCAGAGATGTTACGTTTAAACGCTCGTTTGTCTTTTCTTTTTTACATTTACTTTGCGTATATTTTTCATTTTCTCGGATGGCAAATATCGCGCGCTGATAAACGAGCCACCGATCGCGTATCCGAATACGCAATAAATCGTATGTGTCCTTTGCAGGACAGAATTTGCGAGAAAATTGCCATTATTACCGAGACACATCGTTGGTAAGCGTATTGTATTTTTAAATAAAATCAAGGAAAAGAATATTAAACATTTCACATGGCGAATATATCGTTAACTTTGCCGAACAATTGCAGGCTAAAATTAGGAATTTACATAATAAATATGACTCACCACTGATCGCGTGGATCGGGCAAAGATCTGTGCACGGAGATTAAATCACTGACGTACTGATTAAACGCGTTATTGAGCCAGCCATCATCCACTAGCTTCTTCGTCTGCGCGGACATGTTGGCCGGCAATATCACGGGTCTGCCCATCTCACCGGGTGCAGCAGTATCCGGTTCCCGTGGTATATCCAACACTCCACCACCTATAGAATCTAAAAGCCATCAAAAATCACAGATGAGTGACGTCAGTGTGAAGTTGTTGGCACGTGATTGAGTATTTTATATAATACAATACATTATGTCTATCAATTGTGAATTATATATCCTGAAATTTATCTCACTTAAATTAATCTCAAATTAGGTAAAATTAAGATTCAAATATTCAGTCATTAATTTACAGAATCCCTATTAAGATGTTACAAAAACTATTGTCATATACCAATCTTCGGAAGTGTCATGAAATATATGTCATGTAAATAAGAAATAACATTTATATTATATATTGCCTGAACAATCCAGAAATATTCCTTTCGAAAGATACAACAATATCTTGCTTACACAATTATGCTTTCGTTTCAATTTTATCTCATTTTTGAACTCATTGCATTCTCTCTAGCGCAGTTCAGAATCAAAATTGAAATTTTTATTGAATAAATTTTCAAGATCAATAATTGGAAAAAGGAGACTGGCGGTATTGAATCGATAGTATCCTATTAATGATAATGTTAAAAAAATATATTTATAAGTGTAATCTTATATCGCGAGAAGAGAATTCTCTTAATTGAAGTTGGAACTGCTAATAAATTGAGAAAGAAAGACGTTATGTCACGCTGCTTACATCGACGAGATAAAAAGGTAAATGAAGGTGTGTGTGTATATATATATATATAGTGGCTCGTATTTTGTAGCCGTTCCGGTTTAGTTTCAGCTAATTCTCATTCTCGTTTCGTCTGAATAGCGGGAGTATAATGTTTAACGTCGAAGTGCGAGAGGAGAAACGAGTCGAGACGCGATGGTAGCGACGGTGACGACGCGCCGCGCCGCGACGGAGAAAAAGGCTATCGGGAATTGAATTTTCAGCACATCCACATTCCCGACGCGCCGGGTCTCGAAGGAACACCCTCTAAGAGCTTTCTCGCATAAACTCCAGTTTTATTTGCCGGCGCCATATTGCCGCGGCATAGCTGCTGCTAAAGCCAACGAGGCAAGTATACGCTCTGCGATACGGTCGGCTGGCTGGCGCGCCTCGACCCGCCTGTCCTGAAAATAATTTTATCCCGGTCGACAAAGTTCGGCCCCGGTGTGTACGATGCGGCAATAAAGAGGACGACAAATTGCTTTAGCGCCGCGACCCGGGCCGCTACGAAGTTCGGCGGTGAAACTCGCGTCGTGCATCACGGCTGCGTCGCTGTTACTACTAGGAGAGGCTTTTCCTGGAGAGGAAATCCGGCCGCTCTCGCGCCGCGCCAGAACATCTCCTTCCCCTCCGTTCGCGCGAGATGAGAGTCAGTTCCTCCTCAGGAACACGCATTCGCGCCCGTAAAGGCATTTGAATTCATTAACATGTCATTCCGGGCGTGAGAGCACACCAAGTTCTCTGCGAGTGTGAGCTCGTGAGAGGCATCAACCGGCGCGCGACGAGACGACTAAAGCACATCGTTCAGGATCCACATTTACAGATTTTCTCTCTTATACATATATCTTGTTCGCGCTGTTCGCTAGCGTGCAATGTCGACAATATCGTCGGGATGATCCATGCATTATGAAAGCCCCATTCGTACTTCGCGTCTGGCAATAAGGGATGAACGCGGCGAGTGAACTACCAAAGATTCCTTATTGCGCCCGTGGCATCGCCCGAGAGAACTTTCGTCTTTGAGGATCCTTCGCGTGTATACAATCATACCTATAGCTCTACGTTCTTCTCCGCGCGGTTTGCCTTTATTCCTGCTTCTCTTATGCGATCGACACGCAAGACGCATAAACGATATAAGAATCGGGTTAAAAGGATTTTTTTCACATTTCTTTCATATTAAATCATTTTTCCGTTTTTCTTTTCTTTCTGTCTGATTAATCAAATTAAATTTCCAACAGATATTTTTCTAGAGGAATTAATTACGTAGAATTTCTATGTAATTTGTATCTGTGATAAAATAAGAAAATAAAGATAAACTTATAACGGCTCAGTAAACAAAGATGAAACCAATAACAAAAACGACAAATTTGGCTCTTAGCAAAATTCTGTTATTTATTTTGGTTTATTATTATTGAATCGTTATAAGTTTATCTTTATTTAATACACGCGGGCGAGATGAAGCGTTATAATTATAACTATTCCATATTCACTTTTTCGTACATTAGAACCACATTTGGCAATAATATCTGTAGATTATTTAAAAAATTTTGCAAATTAGTTAAACTTAATGTTAACATCAGGGTACGCATCAAATTTCTTAAATCTCACCACATTTGTATTGGTTAATAAAACCTAATAATATTTCTTTGTATACAATCATAATTACTACGAAAGATTTGAAAACATTCAGCGCAATAATGTAAAATATTGCGATTAGAGATAAGGGATATCAACATTTAAATTTTACTAGAAACAATATTTTTGATATTACTAACAAGATATCAAACATTTTACCGTTTTCTATAGCTAGTGAGTTTTTTTAAATATCGAGACAATTTAAATAATTCTTATTTTTATAAAGACAGATAAAATTAACAAAAAAATAAACTGGTTACAATTAAACAATGATATGTATATACTGAGGATGACCTGACAAATAGATCGAAACGTGTGTATGTGTTTTTAAGAATCTAAATATACAAAAAAATGTGGCTCTTAGCCCTTCTGTTATCCTTTTTAAAATAAGAAAAAATGTTTGAAGTATTAGTGCAATTTTTAGTGATATTTTACAATTACTAAGATCCGTAGATTTTATATTCGTGAACTTTATATAGAAATCAAATTACACATATAGCGCGTAATTATTAAATGTCATAAGCGCAATGAAGAAAATGTGTAATGACATGTAATAAATTTTCTCTCATCCACCTTATTTGAAAAATGTTCTCGAAACGTCGGACACAGATTGAGCCACAGGTGGCTTGCGAAGTAATCAAACATTCTCAGGTATGATTTATGCACCGACCATGCATTCCAAAAGGGACATCTATCAGCTTATTAAGACCTAACTCGCACCTAACCCGTTCGCACGTACGCGCTGTGTGCGTGCGTGTGTGTGTGTGTGTGTGTGTGTGTGTGTTTGTGTTTAGTGTTTGCCTATTAAGCCGTTTCCTAACAGACGTGATTCACGTAGCAACTCATAATACACCTACGTCACATCGGCAAACGATAAAAAAATACGATTTTAATCACAGAGAGAAAGAGATGCGAACCCTTCGTTCTCTCTTCAGCCACATGCAAAACGATCATATCAATTTACATCGCATATTCTCAACGATCCAACAAATTACATTAATTTTCTAACAAACTTAAATAAATGAAACAAAGGGGGGATGATGGGGGGAGAGGGGAGGGGGGGGGAAATTACCTTGCTTAAGGCCGACTTGATTGATCTTCGCCCTGTTGTTAACAGCATTACCAGTCGACTCTTTTCTAAACGGCGCCGCGGGTGGTACAAAGCCATTCGCCGCTTGTTGCGGCATCGCGACGCCCGACGGTGCCAATCCCTGAACGGCAGCCGCCGCCGCCCGATCCTCCGTATAGAGCAGGAAACAGACAGTCACCCACACGGCGGTTGCCAGTACCGCCACCTTCAGCCACAGCGACCTTCTCCTGGGAAAACCCATCCTTCCGCCACTCTTCGATCCTCCCTTTATGCGCCCGCTGCGCGATCGACACCTTCCCGCGCGCTGCGATTATCGTACTTCTCGTGCGGCCTCGAAATGTCGTGTTACCTCAGCAACATCCTCTCGCCCCTCTTCGATCTCCCGCCGGTCGGCTCTCGCCGTGTGACGTCAAAAGGTCCGGGCACCTAAGCTAGTTCCTCCTTTCTACGCGATCGAGGACGCTAATTAAACGCCCGGGTAGAGAGAGAGAGAGAGAAAGAGAGAGAGAGAGAGAGGAGGTCCACAGGAGACGCGTTCCTTTCACGAGCAATCGTGCTAGGAATTTCACAGCGAGAGCTCCTCGGCTCCTCAGAACGATTCTTTATCCTAATCAAAATGACTGACAATCATTGATGTGCAAAATTGATAACTTCTTTGATAATAAGTCCTTTCTTTGATAGTACATGTATTTATCATCCGTTTCAGCGAGACTATTATTCGCAATTGATCTCTCTCGATACTGTTGCGATAGATGTGAGATAAAGTAGATATCTCGAAATTTTGTGCAAAACTAATTTTACATTAGATATAGTTTGCGATATATACCGTTGCAAATGTCTACCAGTTTTTAAATAAGGCAGAGTTTTAATGATGTAGCGTTATATGTTTATCAATCGATATGTCGCATTTGGTTCTCCGTTGTGCCAATGTAGAATGGCAAAATGGCTTTGCATCAATATGAATTAGCGTTATAGACGCTGGATATAATTTTATATATTTTAATTAAATCTTGCATATATGCACTACGATATGTATTTTCGGATCAAGCAGTTTCTCAACGTCACCGCATTCTTGGATCTGCAATCATAAAAAAGCGAGCATATTAATGAAGAGAATCTAACTCGGTATATAACGAATAAAGTTCTATAAAATATTACAAGATTCCAATTTGGACAAGTCTAATCTGCTTACGAACTATCTCTTTAAAAAGAACACTCGCGTGTTCATTCAAAATTAAAACTTTTACTTAAACTGTTTAATAATTAAGTTTAAACTTAGACTAAGCATATATATAT